GCCATGTACTTTACAAAAAAACCATGTTCTAAGCACTTAAGCACTGCGTCACAGCCTGTTTTTTGAAGTACAGTTGACACCTCATCAGAGCAAAAACATGGCGCCGATTCTTATCGTGGCGGTCCTTGTCTTCGTCTTTAGGCTCAGGGTCGAGCTTGTCTGATGGAACCTGCAAGAGAAGCGATGGAATTTGTCTGGTTGGAAAGGGGGGAAGTTGGGGCAACGGAGTGAAGGGACCACATTATTCGAGGGTTTCCGGTAGATAAACATTTTGAGCTCTTTTTGACTTCATCGAATGTTAGCTCGGCATGGGAATAGCAAGAACTTGAGGGCCGAATGGGTTAAATGAATCCTGTTCCTTAGATGCGCCCTGCATTCGACTCCGTTCAGAATTGCTGAGGTGTTTCGAAAGTCTGGCTTACAAAATGACTTGCGGTGACCAGCCGATGCCCGAGTCAGTGCACTTGTACAACTTGTTGGACTTGTTGGGCGGGGTTTGCGCATATGGGACCAGTAAGTAACAGATTCGTGGCTGCTTGTATAACAGACATTCTCACATCTATGAGTGGCCATTGGAGCCCTTACATTCGCTTTACCAGTTAGATCACCCGGATACACTCGCCTGGAAGCACCTGTGGGTGTAGCCTGGATGATGCATCGAAAATGTAAGTTTATTCCCTCAGAAAAAGCAATCCATATAATTGAGAGCGATAGGAATGTCGGTTCTCATTCGTTCTCCGGAATACGCCATACGCATCGATTTAAAACAAGTTGAAGATGTATTTGGTTGCGCACTGAGTTCCTACAAACGCAACTCCCAGTCACTTAAAGTTTCTTGCTGGAAAGTTTTTTCTCCTACGCAAATTCCATAGTGTCTCGTGACGTCGTAGAAATGGATGACCTAACTGGTCTGAGCTGAAACCGGTCCTTCGGGAGCGTGCGTATGATAACGGTGCCTCTTGCCATCGCTCTTTTTTGGTACCATTATCAAAGAATCGTTGCTTATTCATGAGTTGGCACCAGTAACACCAGATACAATTTCTCGAATGAGATGGATTTCTTTGAGCAGAAGTTCCGCTAACGACAATGTCAGATCTATGGGAAGGCTCGAAAAAGGATGAAATCGTTGCTTTTTTCAGATTCCTCAATGTGGCCAGACATATGTACAATCGTCTCAACAGACTACAGAAATTGCTGTTGATTACACGAATTCTGGATCACATGAATCTGGTTATCCCACTCGGTCTTCCTACGAATCCACTCCAGGTGAATTTTCTGGATTTTCTTTCGTGGTAGTTCGGGTAGGTGGGAGCAGCGCGGTTGCGGCCTTTTTCTCCAGGGTTTGAAAAACCTGAGTTTGATAGAATTCTACTGATTGGAACATATTTAGTTATTTATTTATTTGTTTATTTATTTCAATCATTTAACGTGTTGGTCATACTGGAGTTCAGGAGGAACATCGAAATAGAAAATTTGAAAGACAGAGGGGACGGTTGCTTCATGCATGTTTTTTTTTTCAATGTAGGTACAGGCAATCGTATGAGTGTGACGTTAGGTCCAGTTCTAGTCCTTGTATTTATGAATGAATGTATGAATGAATTCATCTCATAAAATGGGCCCCATGTAGGAAGCGAGGGACATCCAGTGAAGAAGTTCAGTGTAAAGTAAGTTAGTTAATGAAGAAATCATGGGTATGGCGCAGTAGGATCGAAATTGTGGCGTCGCGGCGAGAGGGAAGCCGCGCGAGACGGATTGTAGCAGAGTGCAGCAGCAGGTAAGAAACACAGGAACAGAGGAACTAACGGTAGAATTAGGCCTGAATTAATGGTCGCATATCGATTGAGCGGTACGTAGAACGCTAGAGCTGCAATAACGGCGGAGCGGATGGTCCGCGACAGCCGCGTGCGGCGAATCGATTACACAAAACCAATCCAGCGTCATAGAGGTGATGTCGCTTTCTCGCTGCCGCATACAGTGTGCGATTGAAAAACAGACCTTATGTCCGTCCATTGAAACATACCTTATGAGCACTTCGGAAAGTGGACCTTATGTCTGTAGCTACAAGTGACCTGTGACCCATCGTCCTACACCTATCGTCCCATTCTTTTTGGATGGTGAAGTGGGTGGAATAGACGTTTTTTCCTTCAAATCATTCTGTTTTACCTGCAGTTCAACGACGTAACGTAATGACAATGACGATTCGCGGTGTCAGCGGTTCCGCTAACAAGATTTCGTACGAGAGGCCGGTCTGTCCGCATACATCCTTGGCGGTTAGCATAATGGTAAAAGGCTTGTCCAGAAAAAGGACGACAACATTAACGGCAACGTCAACTTGTCAAAGCGCCATTCCAATACCATTAGGATCGTGGAATCGATTCACCTTCATCGTAACTAACGAAAATGTCGTCCGCATTCCTTAAACTGAAAGGGATTGCGCTTTTTCGAGTGAAAGACAACGATATACACAATGCTTGGTTACCCGAGCTCCGTTCCCTTCTGAAGATTGTGATGGTGACGATCGTATTCTTTATCGTCGTCAAGTGGGGAGATGGTTCAGTAGGTACGGGTAAATAGGCTGGTGAGGGACTACAAATCAGTTCACTACTGACAAACATCCTGAAAAATCGTTCACAACCACGAAAATCGAGATCTCTGGGGAATCTCGACGAGAATCCTGGATGTAGGTGTTTTTAGAATAATTTGACAGTTGTTGATTGTTGGTCTGAATATTTGGACGAGTTGTACGACTCTTCTGAGTGATCTCTATCCTTTAGACTTGAAACAATACGATAAAAAAGCGTAACCTCGCATGAATTCGGTAGATTACGGTTGGTTTCCAGAAAGTTATGAATCTCTCTCGTCCTGATTTCGGTGGATTTCCATGGTTTTTCAATAATTTTTATAAAATTCGAAGGTTAGAAGCCTTTAGAGTTTTTGACTTTTTATTTTATATGCAGATAAATAGATGTATTTAATCTTTGGGTTACAGTATACAGATAATTGAGTACATAAAAACTGGTAAAAAATTGACGAATCGTCTCCCTCGCCTGTCAATCTGAGCAGCCGCGATGCTGACACATGAGGATTACTTTGCATTCCAGTTCTTGATTTCTTTTTTTCCCTTTTCTATTTCCCATACCTGATTCCTCATTTTACTCATTTTATTCTTAACATCTTTTTTCCCAAGAGCAAATTGGTCTCTGTAACTGAAGAGATCATGAGAAATCCTTGAATAAAATTAGGTTTTCCAGGCTATCCTACTACAGGTTATCCAGGTTACGAGAGTCAGGAACAACGATATCCTGAACCGGCTCCGTTCAATGTACAACCAGGATATTCCGGTGTAGGTTCCAAAAAAGTTGACTTAGAGTCTGCTCCGAATTGAGATTTTTCTATTTGCAGTTGAATCCGAGCAGTTCGGCTCGGCCAACTATCGGAGCACCGGGTATTCGGCCCACATACAGGGATTTGCATCCAAATGAAACAGAATACGTTCGTTTTTTCTTTTTTTTGTTACTGTCGAACTCATTGAAGCTATTGGAAGGCTTTCCTGTTCTCGTTAGATTGACGGTGGAGTAACTGGGACGGAATTACTTAGTATTTCGAATCCATACAACATTTCCTGTACTTTTATTTTAGGAAGTTGTACCATGCGCATTAAATGGAACGAAAGCTCAGAACAAAGTGGGAGAACGGGAACGAGTGAGCCTTCCTAATGCTTTGATGAATGTAGCTTTTTAAATTCCGTTCGGGGATCTTGGACCCCTATGCTTTCGCTTCTCTGGGCACCCAACGTTTTGGAGTCCTAGCTCTCTCCTCGTAGAGGGGAGCGTAGACGTTTAGAGAGCAGTTGCTAACTCTNAAAGTGGGAGAACGGGAACGAGTGAGCCTTCCTAATGCTTTGATGAATGTAGCTTTTTAAATTCCGTTCGGGGATCTTCGACCTCTTTGCTCTCGCTTCTCTGGGCACCCAACGTTTTGGAATCCTAGCTCTCTCCCCATAGGGGCTGGAGCGTAGTCGTTTAGAGAGCAGTTGCTAACTCTATTGAAAAAGTGTGAAACTACAATACTCGGGAAGGAGGAGATGAACGTTC